TAAAATGGAAACTTTTCCTAAGTTTTCTGTGTTTATTAGTGTTTTTTTTTTTTTTTTCCTGAAATGCACACAGTCTAATGTTTTACTTTTGACTTTCTTTTATAGTTGGAGTCTGGATCTCATTACAGAAAAGGATACTAATGGCACTAACACGATATGGGAGGTGGTGTTTCAGACTGAGCCAATATCCTGGCTCATGTGCCGAAGGATCATCTGATGAGAAGCTTACTTAGAAGTTGCTGAACAATTCACTGCTGCATTTATTTTCTAAGTGATTGAAGGGCTGCTGCAAAAGCTCCAGTTTTAAGTAGTTGCATTATACCTGAGGGGTTCAAAAAATTTTCAGGGTAAGATTGCCTCAAGACTCATGACCCACAAACAGAACCCTGCTCCAGCTAAGAGCAAGTTACAGTGTTTGCAAGTTATTACAAGCATTATACAATATATTACTGTCTGAAGCACAGAATCTAAACTCTGATTTGTGATATTGTGATATGTAGTGCTCCCCTAACATTTTCCAAAGTTATTGTCCCCTCCCCAATTTAGTAGAACATAGACTCTTGAAAAATGGGTCTATGTTCCATATTAGTTACTGAAAGCAAAGTTGAGAAGTTAACAATCTTACCTTGCATAGTACTGTTTGATACTATTTTCATTTTTAAAGTCAAATAAAGTTGATTTTCATGGTGTATTTATTAGATTCCATTGTCCTTTTCATTTCAACATAACTTTGAAAGAATGCAAGAACCTCGACCCTAGGGGAAATCACAATAGAAGGAAACACAAAAGAAAAAGTCAAGCATAACTATGAAGAACCTTCTGGATACCAAGCATGTAGGGCAGCATTTCTGATTGGCCGTGGAACACTCGTGTAGCAAATATCAGTGTAGCCGCACAATACAGAAACCCATGTGGCTCCATTTTTCTGCTGTAACCAGATACCTGGAAACAGGCAGAACAGGGCTGGTGCTGAGGCTTGAGGAATAAGCACAGACCCAGGCTCCTTGTCGCCTTCTCCTCCATCCTTAGCCAGTAACTGATTCTCGAATGGTAAATCATTGGTAACTCCAGGCATCTGGTTGGCGTTACAGTCGGACAAGGAGCTTTCTACATAGGAGGCCTTGCCTTTTAGTCAGGAAAGGGCCCCACTGGGGGAAGCACAGCACATGCCCACACCTATTCTCTTAAGTGATCTTTAACTGGCACCTCACCTTGCCAATCCTAACACAACCTAGTGTTTTTAGCAAAGAATGGAAAATGGATATTGGGTACTGCCGTGTCTGCTGTCCTACAAATGAAGAACTCCTGGTCACCTATAGAATCAGTGTCGGGTGGGCCCTGGGTTTTAACATGGTCCTCATGTGACTTAATGTATTCTGAAGCCTGAGATCTGCAATGCAGGGAATAAAGTAACAGAAAACAGATGCCTGCCCTCTAGCTCACTTAGGAGGCACCTCACCATACACACTCAGTAGGCTTAAACACTACAGAAATACCTTATGTAAGTCCAGAGGTAGCATGGTTTGTGGGCAGGGGACTCAGTGATGATCAGATTTTTTCCTTTCTCTTCACTCTATTGACCTTTTGTCTTATTCCATGGCTGGTTGCCCCTCCCAACAGCAATCCAGGCTTCCATGTTTTCATGTTCAGATTCAATATGATACCAAAAAGAATGGCTTCCAATAGTGAGAAAGAATTCTTCTAGAAATTCTAATGATCCTTTGTCTCCTCCCCAAGAACTGAGTCACATGCCCATTTTTAGACAATCACTGACAAGAAGGTGGTAATGACCTTTTACCAGTCCATGCACCATTTAAGCTAGAATCAGTTATAGTACCTCAATTTGCATTTCCCCAAAAGGGCATGGTCTAATGGAGTAAATCACAAATGTCAGTTTACTGTATCACAAATTGGCATCTTGAGCTACCCATTTAGGCAGAGCCACTCTGGCTCCTTAACCCTTCACCGAGCTTCTCAATGCAAATTCCTATCCTTAGGGTGGAGGTTGGAGATGAAATCAGATTTGTGGCAAGACAATACAGGAATCACATGTTGATCATTTTACTAATCTTAGAAGACTAGGGTCCTGGTGCACGAAATTCATGCACCGCAGAGGGATTCCTCCACCCAGCCTGCCCCCTCTCACATACTGGGAGCCCTCAGGGGATGTCCTACTGATGGCTTAGGCCCGCTCCCCATTGGGAGGGGGGACCTAAGCCGTAGTCTGGCCTCCCCTTGCAGGAGGCCACTGGGCTGATCAGCAGAAGGCGCCAGCCCCATCACCCCTCTTGCTGCAGCCACTGCCAGTTACCGCAGCTACCAAGGTATTTTCATCAACATGGACTCCACTCCCTTCACCATGAAAAAATGACAACTTTCTTTAGGCATTTTCAAGATGTGTCTTTCATAGGATATGACATTTATTTTTCTTTTTTATCCTCACCTGAGGATATGTTTCCATTGATTTTTCTCACTCCTTTGATCGCAGGCTCTGCCCCTTCCCTAAAGCCTCCGCCCGACTTTAGGCTTGGGAAGCGGGCCCTCCCCTTCTGATGGCCGAATGGGAGTGACCCGGGTGCTCATGAGGGTTTGGGACCCAGTTATGTATGCAAATTAACCACCATCTTTATTGGGTTAATTTGCATGCTCACTCTGATGTGGGTGTAGCATAGTTAATTTACATGTTTCTCTATTATTAAGTAAGATTAATCTATGCTTAATTTTTTAAGTAGTATAGACTTTCAAATTCCTTATGCTTCTCTCATAATCACCATGGTCATACATTCACTTTCAATTAAGAAATCTTTGGATGCATAATGTAATTTATTCTGTATTTCCAAGGAAAATGGAGGGCAACAATTCTTTATAGGGGAACTCTACCATTCATGCCCAACATTGTTAAAAATATGCGTAGGATCACTTCTACCTAGAAATGCATATTATGTAATATTTACTTGGAAAGGAACTTGTTCCATTTCATGGCTTCATGGTTGCTTAGTGGTAGAGCCAGAACTAAATTTGACAGCATATGAGCCCCTTTCCTTTGAGCTTTTTAAAGTGTTTTTATACTGATGTCATCATTATGGGTAGATGTACTAGATAGTATAGTTCTGTGAAGGCAAAATAAATATATCGTGACTTGAAGAGGTGAGAACAGGATGCCAGTCTTTGTAGGTCTCCTTCAAACCAGCATTCCCCAGGATACTGTGAAAACTTGGAATTTTTACCTTCATTTTCAACCTTCTTAGTGTCACCCACCTTCTAAAGGAAACTAAAAGGCCCAACAACTTCTCTGTCACCTGGCACCAGGGACCATATTTTACTCAGCAGGAATATAGAGGGCTACATGCAAGAGACTGTACCAGGTATGTGACACTTCTTTCCAACTGAGGCGTTATTAGCACAGCATAAGTCCAAGGACCATGAGTTCATAGTAACCAGAAAAGCATACCTATGTGTACCATTATCCTCAAGATTCAAATTCTTTAAAAATATATGTATATATTTTATTGATTTGTTACAGAGAGGAAGAGAGAGGGAGAGTTAGAAACATCGATGAGAGAGACACTGATCAGCTGCCTCTTGCACACCCCCTACTGGGGATATGCCCGCAGCCAAGGTACATACATGCTCTTGCCTAGAATCGAACCTGAGACCTTTCAGTCCACAGGCCGACTCTCTATCCACTGAGCCAAACCGGTTTCGGCTCAAGATTCAAATTCTTAAGCTCTTTTGACATATGTGTACCCCTTCTATAATTTTTGTAACGCTGAGTACCCCTCGTACTCATGAGAACATAGAATTAGGCGCAGCTAAGCATGGTGCAGTGCATATCCCCACCCAACTCTGGTGCAACGCGTACCCCCACCAAACTCTTCCTGTACCCCTGGGGGTACGCGTACCACACTTTGGGAAACACTGCATTAAGGCATAAGGTGAGCGTGTTATCTCAGGGGTCACAAACTCAAGGGACTCTAGGACCCAGGCAGGTACCAGGAAGGAGCAAAGAGGGCAAGGTGCCACCTCCATGTTCATTAGAAATGTTATATATCTGTCTCTGGAGAGAAGCATCAATGCCAATCCCAGTGAGAAAAATCTGCCCTCAGGACATGGGTCTAACCGAGTATTTTAAAACGTGACAACAGAATTCTCTGATCTGGTTTTAACAAAGGATTTATTTGCTAGATCCCCAAAAAGCAAAATTTGGAAAGTACCGACCCACCCCGAGTAAGAATAGTTCTATAAACAATTTCAGTCATCCTCTCCCGCCTCCCCAAGCTGAACCCTTTTCATCATGGCTGAGCTCTGACAGGGAAATACCTTCTGTGAAAGGCAGGTGGCACTGTTGTTCTGCTCACACCTCTGCTACAGCTTCAGCAGATGAGTGGAGCCTTTTTTCCTTTGATAGAAATGTATTGAAAAATTTTCTTAGTAAAATATTTAAAGATCCCTCCCCACTCTCATCCCACTTCAGTTTTCTCCTGTGAAAATACAGAATTGAAGTCTTTTCCCTTAGTTGTGATCAAAACACTGAGTATTGAAGAATATCCGGCTACTTTAAGTGCTAGGGTTATATACTTACAGATTGACAGAACCTCAAGTTCTGCTGCTCCCCAAAATGTGTAATGCAAGAGAGGATTTGATTAGAACAGCTAAAAAACTTGGTCATTCCAGGCAGGAGCAAAGCAGCTTTTCAACCATCAGTGGATTTTACGTTGTTGATTACAAACCTGCAGAGATCCAATATGATGTGAGTCTCAAATACAGACTATATTTCAGAGAGCCAGGAGAGAGGGCCGAGACACGGGAACAGAACAGAATGCTGGTGAAGGCACGAAGCAAAGAATCCCACGGGTGTTTAGTGCCATTTTCCATTTAATAAGCCAGTAGTACAGCAACCTAGAGACGGTGGCTATGATCATAGTGGGATGTTTCTATGGAATCGCTGTAGGACACGTGACTGGCAGCTGGCACCTGCTGGCTCACTGTGCAGGGGAGACCTACGGCTGGGGCGTGTAGCGCAGGTATTTCTTGCCAGATGGGAGCTCTTTGGTGAAGACTCCTTTAGGGAAGAGTTTCTTGGCTTCCTCTTCAGGGATTGTTGGGAGGACCATCACACTATCTCCGACCTACGGACAGACACGGAGAATGGTGAAATCCAATGGCAAAGCCTGGAGGCAGGAATGAACTTTAGGGTCCCCAGACTCTGACTTCCCTCTGGTCCTCTAACATGCCATGCTCACCCTCAGGTAAAACTTCCTGCTCTAGGCCTCCCTGACAGCCAGGCAGAAAGCCAGCCTTCCCTCCTCTGTACTCCCCTCCTCCCCTCCTCTCTCCATTACTAGTATTCTGCGTACCTAATGTACTATTAGCTAGTTTATTGTCCGTCTCTACCACTGTAATGTGAGTCTCAGAGGTCTGGAACTTAATTGTTCACGGCTATATCTGGGCTCAATAAATGTATGTTCAGTGAATGAACACAGCTTTTTAATTGATATTCTTTTTAGAAAAACAAAAACTGGTATCTAGGTTAGCATATTTTAAAAAATGTAGAGACATTAAAATATTCTTGTGGTATTAACCATGTCTTACATATTGCAGAAATCTATAGAGATTATAAGCTTAAAAACAAGTATCAGAATTCTACACAGATTTAATGAAGTTTAAGAGAAGAAAATACTTTAGGACAGTAAGACACCAAAAAGTTTTACAGCCAGGACTTAAGTGGCCAATCAAAGTTTTATTGTAAATATTTTGCCATCAGGGAAGGATTAAAGTTAAAAAAAAAAAAAAAATCCTTTTATTAGGAAGGGAATCATTCTGACCAGTTAATTTGCCCAAATAAGCTAAAAGCTAGAAAGCAATATAGGGAGTCTGTGTTTTATATAAAAATGTTAATTAATTAAAGACCTTGAATAGCAAATCTAAAATTCAGCCATGAGGAAAAATCCTCCCAGTGGACAGAGAGCCCGAGGGTGGCCATTGGGTATTAGCCACGCAGGCCTTTCAGGCGCCGGGGACCTGCCCTTTAGCATCTTTACCTTCCAGTCAACCGGGGTGGCGACCCTCTTTTCCGCTGTCAGCTGGAGAGAGATAACTACTCTGAGAATCTCGTCAAAGTTCCTGCCGGTGGTGGCGGGGTAGAGGAGGGACAGCTTCAGTTTCTTATCAGGGCCAAAAACAAACACCTGTAAACACAGACACTTATAGAGGACGAGTTCTTTGATATGAAAGCCTCTTGGAATGCTTGCCTGTCATTACAAATGTTCCGGGTAGAAACACAAAATGAACAAAAAAATTCCCCAGTATCTAACGTGGCCCGCCAAACTTCACTGGGAGGCAGAAACACAGATACTTTTCTTCTCCATGTCATTTCCCTTTTTATTAAAATTTTAAAAAACTTTTCAATTACAGTGACCCATAGTATTATATTAGCTTCAGGTACAGTAGTACATCAATGTTCATGTCATTTTTCTGCACTTCAAAGGAGATTATATTTGGTTCTGGATATCCCAGTAAGAAAAACTGATATGCAAACTGAATCCAGGAAAGGGCTTGGAAGGTACTATGTTAAGAAGAAATGATTATTATAAAAATAACACTAATGGGAGTGGATACTGGCCCTCACGTAGTTGTATTTTTTGCAGATGAGGGACTAAGTTTGTTCTCAGGTCAGAACTAACCAGAATTCAAAACGAGAGCTGCCAAGGAAGAAGGACATGAACCACCCCATTAAAGAGGGCTTGTCTGGAGAGATGTAGGAAAGATTACTCAATTCTAGAAGTAGGTTTCCAAAAGCTATGAATTATCCAGTTTAAAATTTTAGCTGAAAATTGAGAATGAGCATTACATATAATCAGTGAGACTGCTACCGGCACCGTTATTTCCTTGAGGAAATATGTAGATATTAACATATATTTGCCTATTTCCTCAGGGTGCTCCAAACATTTACATGGTCATCCAGCTGGCCAGTCACGGGGACTGCAGAACGGACTTCGGAGACTCACCACACGCGCCGTCACAGGCATGCCCTTCTCGTCCTTCTCTGCGGGGTCCAGCATGCCCAATAGGATGGCGAGGTCCCGATTCCGGTCATCGATGATGGGAAAAGGTAACTTTTCTGTGGGCTCCTCACAGTTGTAAGCATTGATATCCTAAAATGCAGATGAAAGAGGAAAGAGAAATGTAAACCAGGCACATCCTCTGAATTCAATCTGTTAATAGCCATACCATAATCATAGTAATTTTTCTAAGCAATTTTAATAAGTAAATGAATGAACAAACACATTGACAGGAAGAGCAATAGGGAACTAAATTTAGGATATAAGCATAGACCCCTTTCTTTCTTCTTCTTTTTAAATCTTCACCAGAAGATATGTTTATTGATTTTAGAGAGGGGCACAAAAACGACTCTGATGTGAGAAACAACAATCATTTACTTTCTGCATAAGCCCTGACTGGGTATTGAACCTGCAGTCTAGGTATGTGCCCTGACCAGGAATCAAATCTGCAGCCTTTCAGTATAAGAGATGATGCCCATTCAAATGAGGCAGTAGGCCATGGCTAAGCATAGACCCTTTTCATGCCCACGTCTGTTAAAATGCAGCTTGCTTTTACTGCTTTAAGAAAGCAGCAGGAACCTCTTTAAAAGCCGAATAGTATAGTATCAGATACCAATCCAAGGTACCTCTGGGCTGGTATCCTCTAATATATGTAAAACCCATCAGAAATAATGGGTTCCTTAAGTCCATCACATCTGGAAACAATGCCACATGCAAAGATAATTTTATAGATCTGATCCCCACCTCAAAAACACCCTGACTCAGACATTAAGCTACTGGAAGAGAGATATTAAAAACAAAACAAAAAAACCCCACACAAAACTCAAAGGAAAAATAAGAATGGAGAATTGAACATAGACTTCAAAGACAAGTCAAAGGGAAATCACTAGAGTGAAATCTACATAGAAAACAAAGCATTTCAAGTCTGAACTAAAGGAAGGATGTACTTCTCTCTTCTCTTTCACCCCCTCCGGTAAAACTTCATTTATTTCTACTCTACAATTTATAACCTCAAAGCACATGCCATAAAACGCTACCTTGCTCCAGGCAAGATGGTCTTCAACACTGTCTATTGAAAGGGCGATCAGCTTAACGTTCCTCTTGGCAAATTCTGGTGCCAGCTTTGCAGCTCTGCCAAGCTCTGTGGTACACACGGGGGTAAAGTCCCGAGGGTGGGAGAAGAGAATGCCCCATCTGCAATGGAGGCAAAGAAGGTCACAAAATTGAATGACAAGGTTATCGCCAACACATAGCATGCAAAATGGGAAGTCACAAATCTGGGATAAAAAATGATGTTCTTTAAAAAAAATGAATGCTTATGAAGACAATTACTTTTAAACTTTTCTGTTGGGGAATGCTTTTTTGATCTCCTTACTTCCAGCAAAACCAATGTTTAAAGCCCAGTTCAACTGAAGATAATGACAATCAAGATAACAATTGTTTTAAAAGACTAATTTAAGGGTGCTACCTCTTTTGAGCCACCCCGACTCCTTTTCAACTAATAAGATCTGTGCTACTCAAACTAACTAGCTTATTAAAATAACTTTTCTTCTTCTTGCCCTCTTCTTTGTTTTTTTCCTAGCCACACAGACCAACATTCAGCTCCAATAATGGGTGTCCCCAGTCTCTGACTCCAAACAAATGGCTGACTGAAAGAATAAACAGGTTATGTAATCTAAAATAAACAGGCTGGTATCCTCTATTTATATGTAAAATTAAAGTTGACACGTGGCTTCTTTGAAAGGAATGGCTATAAAACCTTTTATAAGGCCTAAATGGTTTGGCTCAATGGATAGAGTGTTGGCCTGAGGGGTCCCAGGTTCGATTCCAGCCAAGGGCCTGGGTTTCGGGCTTGATCCCCTAGTAGGGGGTGTGCAGGAGGCAGCCAACCAATGATTCTCTCTCATCATTGATGTTTCTATCACTCTCTCCCTCTTCCTTCCTCTCTAAAAATCAATAAAAAATATATTTAAAAAGTAAAATAAAACCTTTTAGGGATGGGGACATGAGTGGGGGTGGTGGGAGATTGGAATAGGGGGTTGAGGACAAATATGTGATACCTTAACCAATAAAGAAATTAAAAAAACACACACACCTTTTATAAGACAGCTATACAGGACACCCAATATCTGCACCCTGACAAAACAGCCCTCTCAGAGTTTTACTTTTCTCTCTCTCTCTCTAGCTGTCACAGCTTTAAAAAAAAAACAAACAACGTTATTGTTGAAAGTATTACATATGTCTTCTTCCCCCACAATGAGCCCTTCTAATCCCCCACCTTCCCCACAGGCCCTCCCCACATTACTCTGTGTTCATGTGTTATGTACATATGCGTACAAATTCTTTGGTTAATCTCTTCCTACCCACTCCTGTCTTCCCTCTGAGACTTGACAGTCTGTTCCAAGCTTCTATGTCTCTGGATCTATTTTGTTCATTAGATTCCACATATGAGTGAGATGACATGATACTTGCTCTGATGGGCTTATTTCGCTTAGCATGATACTCTCCAGGTCCCTCCATGCTGTCTCCAAGAGTTTTATCTATCTCTTCATTTGTGGTTTCTTTTTCTTCTTGCTTCAGACCAAGTAGGTAGAAACCTGATAAGCTACAATTTAGATTCTAGAACTACAGATTTTTAGGTAAATACTATCCAAATCATCACTACCTGAAATTAAACTTGTAGAGATTTTAAGCACGCTTTAAGCTGAGCCACCAAGAACCTTTGGAGTCCCAGTTCTCCTTGGTGACCATGGTAACTACTCTCTACTGAAAAGGGAAATTTAACACTAGGTTTTCCGCACTCCTAGGGGCTTACAACATTAAAGCAGGACCCGAACCTAGATTACTAGATCTAGCTTAGATGCCAAGCTGAGCTCACCTAGTTTGCCAAATTCCCTGATGCACAGAGAACAAAGCAGAAATGAGGTATCCCCTTCCACTCACATCTGTCACTCAGCTCCAAGGCTTTGGGGAAGGAAAAGACCTTACAAAAAGGATGGAGGTGCTGTGGAAAGACTGGGAAGAAAGAGGTAGTATCTTTAACACTGCGTGATAGGTTTACTTTTTTTTTAAAGGGCAATCAGGGTGACATATATCTTTTTGTAATAAATAATGTGGCTCCGAGTAAAACGTAGGCCTTAGATTCTATGGCAAAGAATCTGTTTAGGGTTCAGACGAGACTTCTGAGAAGAAATGTTAATGGGGTGATGAATTGAGCAAGTAAGGCGTTTTCTTTCCATTTCCAATCAAGAGACCATTTCTCTGAATCACTTCACACCCTCTCCTTCCGGAGAAGTCTAACTCCGGTTTACCTCTCAGCTGGGAATAGCAATGAACTGGCATGTGTGACCGTGGCCTGTCTTCCCTGAGTCTCCCCACTGCTGCTCTGAGAGTAAGTTAATTACATGGTCCCTTTCCTTCCTTCCTCATTTTCAAAAGACAATAGGTTTCCTCCTTTAAGGGAACAGTCCCTCCTCACTAACCCCCCAGAAAACTCCGGGAAAACAGTTTAGTGAAAATGTTCCGTGAAGAAGCTGCCTACACCACATACATAAAGAAACAGTGATTAAGGCTCAATAAACTCACCAAACACAGTCCCCAAACCTCTTAGTTGTATCTCATTGTCTGGGGGAGTGGACAAGGGGGTGGAGTAGGTGCTTGTGAAATTTATGTTTGTTTTATTTTTTTTCTCTGACTTAAAACACCCAAATCAAAAATTGGCAGTCTGAATAGAGATCGCATACAGAATGGAGTTTGGAAAATATTATATAGGCAAAAGCCCATGTATTATAAGACATAAAGAGGTCAAATGTCATTTGGAGGTGGGGCCGACTTGTGCAGCCTTTTATTTTTATTTTATTTTTAAAATATATTTTATTGATTTATTTTTATTTTATTTTTAAAATATATTTTATTGATTTATTTATTTTTTTTATTTTTTTTATAGAGAGTAAGGGAGAGGGAGAGTTAGAAACATCGATGAGAGAGAAACATCAATCAGCTGCCTCCTGCACAGTCCCTACTGGGAATGTGCCCGCAACCAAGGTACATGCCCTTGACCAGAATCAAACCCAGGACCCTTGAGTCCACAGGCTGACGCTCTATCCACTGAGCCAAACCAGTTAGGGGTAGTGCAGTCTTTTAAATAAATAAAAATATTTTTATTGATTTTAGAGAGAGGAAGATGGAAAGAGACATCAATGTGAGAGAAATACTGATTAGTTGCCTTCCGAATGCACGCCGATTTCAAATCTGCAACCCAGGTATGTACCATGAATGGGAATCGAACCAGCAACCTTTCAGTGCATGGGATGATGCTCAACCAACTGAGGCATACTGGCCAGGGCTTGTATAGTCTTTTATAGATGTGGGTATTTTTCTCATCTTTCCACGGTGGTTCCCAGATATGGCACCGTTTCTTTCTTTCTTTTCTTTTCTTTCTTTCTTTCTTTTTTTTTTTTAACATATTTTATTAATTTTTCACAGAGAGGGAGAAGTATAGAGTCAGAAACATCGATGAGAGAGAATCATCGATCAGCTGCCTCTTGCACACCCCTTCCTGGGGATGTGCCTGCAACCAAGGTACATGTCCTTGACCGGAATCGAACCCAGGACCTTCCAGTCCGCAGGCCAATGCTCTATCCACTGAGCCAAACCGGTTTCGGCTGGTACCGTTTTTAATAAAATCAACAGAGAACTAGCCAATAAACTATGGCAATGACAACAACAACAACAACAACAACAACAAAAAACAAGAAAGTGGAGTTAGCTGAGATAGTGACAGCATTTATAATTATTGCTAGAGTAATTATACTTTATGTTAATATTTATCTTAAATTCACACAGCCTAGGAGTTCTGGTAAGATTCCTATGTAGGCCGAAACTGGTTTGGCTCAGTGGATAGAGCATCAGCCTGCAGACTGGAAGGTCCAGGGTTCAATTCCGATCAAGGGCATGTACCTTGGTTGCAGGCACATCCCTGGTGGGGAGGGTGCAGGAGGCAGCTGGTCGATGTTTCTCTCTCATCAGTGTTTCTGGCTCTCTATCCCTCTCCCTTCCTCTGTAAAAAAAAAAAAAAAAAAAAAAAAAAAAAATCAATAAAATATATTTAAAAAAAATATTCCTATGTTATGTGGGGTTGAGGACTGAGAGTGGAAATGGGAAGGAACATACTCTGAAAAAATACCATGGGGTCTGGAGAAATACTAATACCTAGATTCCGAGTATAGACTGGCCTTGGTCTGTGTTTCTGAAGCCCTTTCCTGCCTTCAGGGTCCGAATGGTCCATGTCTCATCATTTTCTAGTTGAGCCCTCTCTTTCACAAACCTTAGCTACTCCATTGATGGGAGGTGGGAAATGGACTTAGAGTGTTAAGGGGTTGGGTAGGCCTAAGGTATAGAATCTCTCTCAGGTTCTCTGAACACCCCTGTTCAATCGTTGGTTTGGCCTGATAAACTTTCTTTTCTCTCTCTATACATATCTTCTCTCTCTATATATACATATCAAACCCAGGGAGGAATTACTACCCCTCAGAAGACCACAGGGCTCCTCAACTCCAGAACCATAATGTAACTAGACATGTCTGGGATGTTTCTGATTGAAACTGAGCAACTTAAATTTTGCAGATTCAGGAGCTATAAATCCAGGGTGACAGCGATTTACTCCTAGTCATAATGGTTTGATTGCCAGGCCAGATGACAGGTCACCAATCTTTATCGCACCATCCAGGCCATGTGCTGCTGGAAGCAAGGCAGGGGGAGGGGCACACCACTGGGAACAAAGGGTCTCAGGGAGCAGAGGTACACGTGTCCTGGCAAGAACAGGTCACTGCAACTGGGCAGCCTCAGAAAGCCTTCCCTCAACAGTGTTGTAAGTTCTGGAATTAAGGGCACACCTAAGCACAGAGTGTTCTTGGTTCCTCCCAAAGTTCTTATCAAATCTTCTCCCGGCCACTAAAGGAGCTGAGGCCAAAAAGTCTTCCGGCCGCTTAAGTGGCAATTAATTGGTGGCTTTGAACTTTCCTTTTGCGCTGAGGAGCCTGCAAATCCCAGGCAGCAAGCAGAGCCCTTCTGCCAGCAGCAGAGTCCCGGGACTCTGGCCTCAGACACCCACCTTCCCCGGGAGCAAGTTCCAGAACAGAGGGAGGGAGAGGGCCCGAGTCCGGGCAGGAGTCCCAGGAGGTGACCGCCGGGGCCGCCGGCTGCCGTCCCCACCGGGCCTGGCTGGACGTGCTTCTTGCACAATTTACAAACCGAGTTAAACAGCAACAAGCCCCGCTCCGCGGAAACCCAATTTCTTTCCCCTCCCCCGTCCCCGCCCGGAGCCAGCGCGGCCACGCGGGGCGGGCAGGAGGGAGCCCAGCGGCCGCCGCGCGCGGGGCGGGCGGGGGCGCACAGGGAGGGGCGCCCAGGGAGGGGCGCCCAGGGAGGGGCGCCCAGGGAGGGGCGCCCAGGGAGGGGCGCCCAGGGAGGGGCGCCCAGGGAGGGGCGCCTGCCGGCGCCGGCGCCGGTGCGGGAGGCGGCGGCGGGCAGGCGCCCAGCGGCCGGAGGCCGGAGGGAGAAGACAGGGAGACGCCTTCGGATGGGAGCGAAGCCCGAGGCCGGGGCAGGGCGCCGGGGTGGCCACTTACGAGTCTCCCAGAAAGTCGTGGAAACGGATGCGGCCAACGGTCGTATTGGCCTCGAAATTGGGAGCCTCGTCCCCGAGAAGGAGACCTCCGGGCATGGCGGCAGCGGTGAGGGAGGATGAGAAGGCGCAGCGGCGACACGGAACCAACAGCGGGTTCGGGAGGAGGCGCTACGGCGGACGATCCGGCCGGAGGGGCGGTGGGCGGGGCCTCAGCCGGCGGGGGCGGGGCCAGGCCCAGGCCGGCCAGCGGGCGCTAGTGTGCTTGTCCCTTTAGGGGAGGTCGCCCCAGGCAGGCTCGGGGGTGCGCAGCCTTTGACCCTGCAGTGTGTGCGCGCTTTGCAGGTGAAAAAGTACAGCACAGTAGGAATGGGCCCCAACCCGGGGGATCCCACAGCCGCCCCAGGACCCCGGAGCCGCAGAATCCGCCCAGATCCTCCTGCCCACCCACCAACGGGCGACCTTGCACTCCTGGCTCTAACAGTGTGAGTGTCTGGAATTGGGCCGCTTCAGCCCGCCTAGCCATCATGGATAGTGTCATATCGGAGAGTGTGGCAAGATCCAGATGTGTGGAGGACCTTACCTCAGAGGAAGTGGCTTTCTTATTGCAGCAGAAATTCTCGCACCATGTTAGTCAGTGCTTGGGGGAATGTGACTAAAGTTTTCATTTTTATTCAACTCACTCCCCGTTCCCAGAGCTCACTATGAACTATAAAATAATACAATTATTCTGAAATCTAAATGTAAATTTTAAAACATACTTGTTGTGATCCTCTGTCCATGCACGACTTAGACAAGATGACTATTCTCTTGGAGCTTTCATTCTAGTGGGGGAGACATAATTAAATAAAAATATATTAAGTAGCAGACATCCTATTCGGAGGAACAAAATAAGGTGTGCTAGTGGTAACTGGTGCTGCTTTGGATTGGATAGTCTGATTTGGGAAACCTCTGGGATCATGTAGGTGAACTACTTAGCACATAGGAAGTGCTCTGGAAATGACAGCTAATTCCTGGATGATGATAATTTATACAATAACTTGCCTTCCCAGCTGTAGGCTAGGCACTGTGCCAGGCCTGGTGTTGCAATGGAAATATAGTCCCTGCTCTTACAGGGAAGAAGGCGGCATGCATGCAATAATGATAAAAATGCAGGCTAACTGCTGATAGGGGGAGGGCGCCAAATGGTCTGAGTTCAGCAGGGGGGGAAATTCTCAGGTTTAAGGAAGGTACATGGCAAAGTTAGGAGAAGTGACTCACTGATTTCAGTTTTCAACACAGTGATGTTTTCGTGTGTGGGCGCATACTAATCAGTTCTCTTCTGAGCAAGGACTTGCAGTAAGATTCTTGCTAATATTTCTAAACACTCAAGAAAACTATAACGCTACTATAACTTAATGTCTAAATTAATTTGACTCCAATTTTTGGATCTAAAAACTCGATGTTTTAGCTCCTTTTGTAGGGGAGAGAGAGAAGAAAGGGAGAGCAATCTGACCTTGAGGCACTATTAGTAGCATTATGGAGCCAGACTAGAAGACAAAGCTATTACCACAAATAAGGAGAATGAATACAGGAACAGGTTACTGATCTCCATAAAGGGCATAATTATGGAACTGACTGTTGTAAATTGAACAAGTACAATAAAATAAGAAAGAGCCCGTTAGAATTTACAGTGCCAGGGACTGCATCCCATAATCCCCTTGCTCCTTGCAAAACTTGTCTACTTTAATCTTTGAAATGTTTTCAATTCTTTTTTGAACTAGCCGTCAATATATTTTTTTTAAATATGATTTTTCATAAAAATCTGGATATCTGTCTTCTAAAATGTCAGAAGATAGCCATGCTGGGCCAATGTTCCATTTGGCAAATGCTGACTAGGGAGTAGCCACCTTGGAATTGTCTGTTCTTGTTTGTTCAGAAAGTTCTCCAATATTTACTGACATTGTCTATTGTCACTTTAGTCACTTTAGCTCCCCTCTCACACTATTACTTTTTTTTAATAATATATTTTATTGATTTTTTACAGAGAGGAAGGGAGAGAGATAAAAAGCCAAAAACATCGATGAGAGAGAAACACCAACCAGCTGCCTCTTGCACACCCCCAACAGGGGATGTGTTCGCAGCTAATGTACTGCATGCCCTTGACCGGAATCGAACCTGGGACCTTTCAGTCCACAGACCAACTCTTTATCCACTGAGCCAAACCGGTTTCTGCTCACACTGTTACTTTTATTAGAGAGGGATTAAGAGGAAAATGAATCCTACACTAATATATCCCTGTCTCTGTCAGCACTGAAAATGAAAGGTTGCCTGAGAGCCATGTGTTTCCGGGAGGAACAAGATAGATCATTTTTCTTCGTAAAAGAAAAGAATGATCCTGTGTACTTAATATGCAAAAAATTGGGTTTAACCGCTGCACCCCACCAAAGGTGGGTGATCTGTGCGCAGAACCCCATTTCTAGAGGGGAAAAGATAAGCTGCTCTCCCAAGGGCATGCAGGAAGTGCCATGGGAAAGGAGGAAAGGAGCAGGGCGGAGGGAGGGACCAGAATGTGGAAAAGGAAAGCTGGGCTGAGGAAAATATTTACTTTGCAGAGTGGGTAGAGGCTCTGGGATCAGAAAAAAAGTTTCTATGCAGCTGACCTTAGAACCACTGGCACTGGGTCTCAAAGAGTTTGATTTTGGAAGCTCACAGGTTACTTAGGATTAAGTAACAGGAAGGAAGGAGTGTAGGACCTTCAGAGGGCCATGACTCCTGACTGACTGAGTCTCTTCTGTCCTTACTGCTTTGGACAGATGAAAGGAAAAGGAGAAAGGATGGGCAGTGGCCATTTGGGAACTCCTAAAGGTTTGGCCCTACTAAGCATTATAGTGGGCATGAGGCTAGATTGCACAAAGGACCAGAGAAGCATTTGGCTACCTTCCTGCAGCCACCCTAGCAGTTTCCTGTCTGCCTGCAGCTGGGAATAAAGGTGCAATGTGTCCCTGGTTAAAATTATAGTTAGGCAAAAATTCTTATGCTTGTGGGAGGAGATAAATGAAAGTTGAAATTAATCTTAGGGAGGTTGTTTTAAAACCAGTTCTCATAAGCTTTCTTGTTAAATTTGATGGTCTTTTCAGAAAAAAAAAAATAGGAGGAGGGCTGGAGCATGTACAGATCAAGGCAGTGCCATCTACCTGCCATGTAAGAAGGGCTGACGGTCTCCCCACTGCTCTTCTTTATTGTGTTTAAGGAATATGGTCTCTCCTCCCTCCTGTATCTGCTGTGGGACATCCACAACCTGGAGAGAAATCAGAGTAGAAAATGGGGGAGCAAAAATGAAAAGACAACAGTTGTTAAAAAGTTAGATGTTTGCGTAACTCACAGAGGGACTTTGAGTAGCAAATTCCAACACTTCTTGTCCAAAATTCAGCATCCTGCAAGTTTACTGTATACCCTGAAAGATACTGTTTAGCAAGTTTCACAAATAATGACTTTTGGGGAGGAGAGCAGAAAGTTTTTCTTAAATGGTTACAGGATTAGATTTAAAAACATGATATAATAATTGGATAGCTAGACACCAAAAGCCAACCTGGAATGGTTTAAAAGATGGCTAGTTAGGTTAACCAATTCTCTCATCTGCTTTTAGTTAAGCATAAGAGGCCCCATCCTATCGAGAAAAGAATTTATTACGTTTACAGAGTGGGTGGTGGATATACATTTCTGAAGCTTCATATCTGTATTTATACAGAGACTGTCAAAGAGATGGAAAAGGGGAAAGGGAAAGAGGGAGAGAAAAGAGAGAAATCAAAGAAGTCTTATGTTCTTATGGTATTACATAAGAATACATATGTAATACCAAGAACTCTTTTAAGTACAGGAACTGGGAAAGGAAGAAAAAAGAAACACGAGAAAGGGAAGTGTTTTTGAGAGGAACCAATTTGCATGCCCACCTGGCCCAGGCTCCCTCCCTCCTTCCCCCAAGAAAAGCTGAGCAAATGGCCCTGCCACGTGCTGGCCTTTGGAGATTGCACAGGACTGGAGACTGGCACCGCAGCAATGAACCTACAGCCTGGCTAACAGCCTGTGATGGGGCCTGGCACAAAGTGCTTTATTATTGGATCCTCTCTTGGTGACTGGAAGGCAAGACAATGGATTCAGTCAGTGGCTCACAGTAGGGGTAGAAGCTGAAAGATGGTCAGGTTAGGTGAGCAGAAGCCAGAAGAGTGGAGTGGTAGGGACTTTAGAAACAAAGAAGCCTGAGGCTGAAGGGTGCAAGATAACCCAACAAGTCCTTAATGGTAAGTAAGCTGTGAGCCCTTAATAGTAAGTAACCTGTAAGCTTCCAAACTCAAATTCTTTGAGACCCAGTGCCAGGAGAGAAATAAAGGTGGGTGATGGGAGAAATCCTCCCCATGTTCAGAAAATTAAGCTACCGGTATGCATTTTATGAAAATCAAAAGATAATGGTAATAATAACATTAGTCTATTTGTTATTAACACAAAGATCACTAAGCAAAATTAGTGATGAAATACTCCCCCCAGAAAAATCTTGATGTTGATCTAAATTCTGAACCATTGCTACAGTTACTGTTGAGTTTTAATCACATGCACATATGCTCCAGATGAGCACATTTTATTCTTTAGTTTTAAAAAAGTATTCTACATAGCAGTTGATTTGGAGAATTCTCCACTTATTCTCTATATATTCAGAGCTCATTTATTTTGGGAGTGAATTGGAAGAAATTCCAAATCACTTTGGTTGTGGTTCAAGTTGTCTTCTAGAGCGCTTTCTGTCTCCAACTCTTGAATCCAGACATTTAAACAATAGAATCAAAGTAAATAACAATAGCTCAGTGATTATAAAGTTAAAGTAACAGAACTTAAGTTATTTTATTGTGAGTGACCACTTGGAATTTTTGTGTTTAAAATTTAAAACATGTTTACACTTAAAATTATATAAAACATTACTATGCAAATTAATGGAAAGACATCCCATGTTCATGGATTGGAAGACCTATTAGTAAGATGTCAGTACTACCTACCCAAAGTAATCTACAGATTCAATGCAAGCCCTATCAACATTCCAATTATTATTTTTTTACTGAAATAGAAAAATT